TGTGTGTGTGTGTGTGTGTGTGTGTGTGTGTGTGTGTGTGTGTGTGTTACCATGAAAGGGCCTACTTTATTAAATGAGAATCATTCTTATCCATGTATCCTGAAGGAACACTGAATTTTAACATACAATGTTGTGTGGTATTGAATGAGAAAATGGGTTGGGCAGAGAATATATGTCAAACAATGATGTAAATAGTATGTTCAGGATCCCTTCTACAGATTTGTCAGTACAACAGAGGGCCACTGGATTATCAGAAACCACTGTTGTGCCAGATAGCATGAAAAAGCAGGCTTTAAGATTGAGAGACAGATTTTCATGATAGGTTAGCAGGGACTGCTTATGTGCTAGAAATAATGGAGAAGAAATGATAGTCATCCTCTCCCTGTAATGAAAATAGTGGTTGTATATCAAAGATAAGTGAAAATTTAGTCTTATTTTGGAGAGCTAAAAGCAATTATCAGAGAGGAGAACTTAATCAAAACAACCAGAATACAGTGTAGAGGTACTGGATTTGTGTTTAACCACTACACTGATGCTGTTTTACTCAGAATGTATCAGTTATGTTTTCGTTAATAAAATGTAATCACTTTTTCAAAGCTCTAAATGAATTATTTTCTTCCCCCTATCAGATCAAGTCTATCCTGTCTCATTATAGTACTTCAACACAAACAATAACAATACATCTTCAGGCTGTCAAGGCTGAAAAGCATCTGCCACAATTTTCTTCCCTGATGGAATCAAAGAACATAAAACTTTATGAATATATACTCATAATTTACTTGAGTTACTCCCTCCACCCTCTGCCTCTTGGATATTTATGTGGCTATGATGAAAACAGCACAGCAGTGCAACCTTAGACTCCAAACATTTGAAGTGCAATTCATCAGTGTGCACCTGATGTTTCCATATGCCCTTGTTTGTGCCTACATGAGACTCACGACTTGTACTGGCCTTGATTTACATGAAGCAATATATATATATACATATATATATACACACACATATATATACATATATATCTATATAGAGATAATAGATAATACACACACACACACACACACACACACACACACACACACACACACACACTATCTCTACACCCAACGTGGGACTCAAACTCAAAACAACCTGAAATCAAGGGTCATATGCTCTACTGACTGAGCCAGCCAGGCTCAGCCCTGGGGCAAAATATATTAAGCATATGAGAAGTGTCAGGAAATAAAAGAAAATTTCAGGAGTAGAGATATGATATGTGCAAAGTTTCCCCCCAACCGCTACTTGGAGCTTTCACTGGAGTAATTTGGAAAGCTCACTGATCATGAGTTTCCCCGTAAGAATGAACATATACACTTGAGGATACATTAGTCTTGCTTTGTAGGCCAACTAGGAGTTTCCCATATCGATCCCCTTGAAAATAGTTAATTTGCACTTTTAGATATTCCACAGACATGGGATGAACCCCTATCTGAAATTTAGTCTTGGGTATCAAGACTGATAATGCTAATCACCAAAAGGATGTGAAGATGTTTAAAGCACAGTGAGACTTTCTGGGGAGAGCAGGACAGGTTTCTGAAGTTGCCACAAAAATGGCTCGAGAGACAAGAGGAGACTCACTTCAGGTTTCTATGGAGTTTATACTAGACGGTGGGTCCTGCGTGTGGTTTGACCTTTTGTGGGCACCAAAGGAGCACCTGGGCTTCTAAATTTGGCCACTTGTAGAGTAGACGGGAAGAGGGAGATACACTGAATATGTGCAGTAAGTAAATGTGTGTGTGTGTGTGTGTGTGTGTGTGTGTGTGTGTGTGTGTCAGTCAATTATACCTCAAGCTGTACCAAAAACAGGGAAGGCAACTGAGAGAGGGCTGAGGCTTAAAAGCTGTCTGTCCATGGTCAAATACCAAAAACCAAAAAGCAAAACACTGGAGTGAGATTAGAATACAACACAGAATGTTTACTCTCAAACCTGATTGCTTGGTTAGGAGAGACCCATTTTCTTCATACTAATAATAACTTCTTATGCATCCTTTCCTGCTACACACATAGGACCCTTTACCCAGTATAACTGCTGAAAGTGAAATACTGTTTAGATAAATTGCCCAAGTCGCTTTTACACTAGTTTCATGATCATTAATGTGTGCAAGTGTTTATCAGATGGTTAATATGATTCAATAATCTTACCAGAAGAGTTTTTCAAAGGTTATAAAAATCTCAATTTGTGATTATACTATTAAGCATTATATGAGTCTTTCAACTCTGGTAAAATTCCTTTTTATTTAGAAATTTTTCCTTAACCCATTTTATATATATTTAGTTTACATGTTTTCTCTGTGTTACTACATTGAAAAATTTGAAAAAATGCATGAGTTAAAGATTCTTTTAAGAGGTGTGTAACACGATAATGTATCCAGGACACTAAGAGGTACAAAGTAAGTGCTTTATAGATATGAAGATTAAGAGTTCTTTTAATTTTTCTTAACGTTTATTTATTTTTGAGACAGAGGGAGACAGAGCGCGAGTGGGGGAGGGGCAGAGAGAGAGGGAGACACAGAATCCGAAACAAGCTCCAGGCTCTGAGCTGTCAGCACAGAGCCCGATGCGGGGCTCGAACCCATGAACCGTAAGATCATGACCTGAGCCGAAGTCGGATGCTCAACCAACAGAGCCACCTAGGTGCCTCGAGTAAGAGTTCTTTTATACCTTTTAGTTCAGTGGAAGAAGTAGAACAATATGAAATTGTGAACTAGAATCTAGTAAGGTGGAACTAGGAGACCTGTTGATACCCTACAAAACTAATACCAGGATTTGGGGAACACAATATGTTCATTTTACCTTATAATTATTTTCAATTCTTCTATTATTGCCATAAAACTAATCCTCTCTGTCCTACATTATTGCAATGGATACTGGAACTTATTTTTTTCTTATTTTTATTTTTTTAATAAAATAATAAATATTTTAATAAATATGTTAGCTAACATATAGTGCAATAATGATTTCAGGAGTAGAATCCAGTGATTCATCTCCTACATATAACACCCAGTGCTCATTCTAACAAGTGTCTTCCTCAATACCCCTTACCCATCTAGCCCATCCCCCCCACCCATAACCCCCACCAGCAACCCTCTGGAACTTACATCTCAAGTCCTTATAGTATAGTGTCAGGATATCAGACTATTTTCCCCTAAGTTCAACATGAAGCAATTCGATGTTTTTACTTGATTGTTTCAATAACATATGTCCTACCATAAAATCCACTTTTTGGGGGGTGGGGGGGTGGGGACTCGCATGTTTGAAGGAGGGGGCAGAGAGAGAGAGAGAGAGAGAGAGAGAGAGAGAGAGAGAGAGAATCTTAAACAGGCTCCACACCCAGCATGTAGCCCAAAGCAGGGCTTGATCTCACAATCATGAGATCATGATTTGAGCTCAAATCAAGAGTTGGATGTTTAACTGACTAAGCCACCCAGGCGCCCCCATGAAACCCACTCTTAAAATGTACAATTCAGTGGCAAGGATGTCTTTTCTCACCATTCTTGTTCAGCACTGTACGGGAAGTCCTAGATAATGCAGTAAGAAAAAGAAGTAGGACAGACATTATGAAGCAAGAAATAAAACTGTCTTATTTGCAGATCATACGGTCTATGTAGAAACTCCACAGAGTCAAAAAGAAAAAAACTTTTGGAACTAAGAAATGATTATAGCAAGACTGAAGGACACAAGGTTAATACAATGTGCTGACTGTGCTGACTGTGTGTTATCAAATCCCATATGGTGCAATTCTAACCCACAGGGATGGTATGTGGAGGTGGCGCCCCTGGGAAGTCAATGACTGTGTTAGAGGGGAACCCTCATGAAGGAGATTAGTGACCTTATACAAGGGACCTCAGAGAGCTCTTAATCTCCACAATATGAGAATCCAACAAGAAAACAGTCTTTTGCAGCCAAGAATAGGGCCCTCACTTAGACACCTAATTAGCCATCACAGTGATCTTGGGCTTCCCAGCCTCTAGAACAGTGAGAAGCATCTGTTGCTTATGTACCATCTGGTCTATGTTGCTTTGTTATAACAGTTCAGACTAAGACAGTACACAAGTCAGCAATGAACAAGTGGAATTTGCATTTAAAAACACAGTAACTTCACACTACCAGAAAAGGAAGTTATACTTAGGTATAAGTCTAACATAGTATGTACAGGATCTACAGGAAGAAAGCTAGGTAGCTGATAAACAAAATCAAAGAACTAAATAAATGGAGAGAGATTTCATGTACACGGACAGAAAGACTCAATAGGGTCAAAGTGTCATTCTTCCCAACTTGACTTACAGATTCAATGCAATCCCAAACTAAATAGCAAGTTATTTGGTGAATATCAACAAATTGATTCTAAAGTTTATATTGATAGTCAAAAGACACACAGTAGGAAACAAAATATTGAAGGAGCTGAACAAAGTCAGAGGACTAATATTACTTGATTTCAAGGCTTACTATAAATATACAGTAATCAATGGGGCGCCTGGGTGGCTCAGACCGTTAAGCGCTCAACTTCGGCTCAGGTCATGATCTCACAGTTTAGGAGTCTGAGCCCTGCATCCGGCTCTGTGTTGACAGCTCAGAGCCTGGAGCCTGCTTTGGATTCTGTGTCTCCCTGTCTCTCTGCCCCTACCCCGGCTTGTGCTCTGTCTCTCTCAAAAAATAAACAAACATTAAATTTTTAAAAAAATATACAGTAATCAAGACACACAAACAGATCAAAGGAACATAATGGAGAGCTCAAAAATGGACCCATACAAATATGGTCAACTGATCTTTGACAAAGAAGCAAAAGCAATACAATGGAGAAAAGGTAGTCTTTTCAACAGATGTGCTGGAGCAAATGGACATCAATGTACAAAAAAAAATTCATCTAGACACAAACCTTATTCCTTTCACAAAATTCAACTCATAATTAATCATAGATGTAAATGTGAAATGTGTAACTATAAAATTCTTAGAAGATGACAGAGGAAAAAATCTAGAGGACCTAGGTTTCATCGCTTTTTTGATACAACACCAAAGGCACAATCCACGGAGGTAATAATAATTTAGATTTCGTTAAAATTAATAACTTCTGTTGTGCAAAAGACACGGTCAAGAGAATGAGAAAAAAGCTACAGACTGGGGTAAAGTATTTGCAAAGCACATTTCTAAAAGGTCTGGTATTGGAATACATAAAGAACACTCTCAAAGCCCAATAAGAATGCAAAAAACATCATTTAAAAATGGGAAAAAGACAACAATAAACACCCTCATCAAAGAAGATACACTGGATGGAAAATGAAGCACATGAAAATATGCTCCGCATCTTATGTCATTAGACAACTGAAAAGAAAAACAATGAGTTACCACCACACATCTAATACAATGGCCAAAATCCAAAATCCTGACACCAGGGGATGCTAGTAAAGATGCCTAACAACAAATACCATTATTCACTGCTTGTGGGAAGATTATAGCCACTCTGGAAGGCCATTTAATGGTTTCTTACAAAACTAAACATACTCTTATCACATTCTAGCAATCACATTCCTTGGTATTTATACAAATGAGCTGAAAACTTATTTCCATGTAAAACCCGGCACATGAATGTTTACAGAACTTCTGCTTAACTGTCCAAACTTGGAAGTAATCAAGTAGGTGAATGGTTAAAAAAAAAAAAAAAAAAAGCTGTGATATATCTAGACAATGGCACATTATTCATCACTAAAAATAAATGAACTATCAAGCCAGGAAAAGACATGGGAGAACCTTAAAAGCACCTTGCCAAATGAAAGAATCCAATCTGCAAAGGCTACACATTGCATTGTTTTAACTACATGATATTCTGGAGAAGGCAATAGTATGGACATGTAAAACATATGGCCAGGCAAAACATTTCCCCATGTAAACCAGTTGGTCAACCACTCTATGAATCTGACACAGGAGCTAGGACCCAGTCTATTAAATTTTGTGTAAACACCATTTGATTAAGTTTATGAGGTCAAGCTGCTTAAATCACCTCCGCTACAGAAATGCAGGTTCCTAGTTCAACCAGCTGAAGAAAAAGCCCAGTGCACATTAGTGTGTAATGTAGAAAGACATGGCATTTCTCCTTTACTTCCTGAACTCAGTTTTTGATGGTGACGCATCAAGAACTAAATATGGTGTGAAAAACATTCACTTCACATATTTCTGATAAGATTAGGAAATGTTCTATTTGTTATCCATGCGAAGCAGAGTCTGGATATAGCAGAGTTCCGGCCCATAAGCAGAAAGGGGCAGACAGTTGGAAAACACACAGTAATCATGGCAGCGGTGTTCACCAGCCACCAGCTGCGATTACAAAGAAGAGCAACACAAACATGAAAGACGGAGGAGAGGAAGTAGAAAGACACAAAGGTGCTCACGAGGACGAGGATGCTCTGGGTGGCTCTGGACTCAGCAGAGGATCTGGGGGCGACATTAGTGCTGTGAATGTGCTGGACCCGCTGCTTGTGTCTGTGCAGGAGGAAGACCATGGAGCTGCTGGCCCCGATTGTGAGACCACACAAGGAAGCTTCAGGAAATACTATCAACACTGCATATACGGAAACTGTGATTGTGTTGTGATCTACAGCAAGACAGTAGCCCAAATCTCCTTTCTTTGTGAAGTTTTTCATGCTCTGGTTGCTAAACACATATAACAGAGGAAAAACTAAATTTACAAACATGAACTGGATCCAACAGAGGGAAATGGAGAAGCCAATGTACTTTGGGGCTTTGACTTTAAACTCCTTCAAACAGGAGTTCATGGGGCTGATCATAATGGTCTGGAACACAGTCAAGAGGCAGGTGCTGCCAATGGACATTCCCCTGCCCACCCTCTGAACACAGAAAAGAAGTTTGCATCCAAACTCATTGAAAAAATGTTTCGACCCAAAAGATGCCATAGTGTGGGGGACTCCTTTAGAGAGAATGACCAAGGAGTTGGCTATAGTGAGGTGCCTGAGAATCAAATGGGTGGACCTCACCCTGCATTCAGTGTGGTAAAGGAACAGATAATGGTAAAGAAGAGAGAAATTTTCCACAATTCCAACTATGGTCTGTGACAAGAAGATTATTCCTACTATCAAATCCCTGTAGGACATTCTGTCATTCAACACCCTTACTTTTAAATTATGGCAACAATCATTCTTCTGAGCAAAAAGGCTCACTGAAGATTTCTGACACCAAAAGTGACTTTCATTATGTGCTTCTGTTTGATTGCCAAGACTTCATGAGATGGGAATAATAGGTGTCTGGTATATTTCACTGAAAAGTCAGCACGAAAGATGACGTGGTTAGCCTGGGGGGAGCAATGAGAAGTGACAGCAAAGGGAATGAATGCAAATACAACATTTTCAGAAAAAGCTAAAATTCACTAGCTGTACCTGAGGATGGAGGGACCCTCAATCACTCCCCATAGGTCATGAAACAGATAAACTCTCAATGGATTGCTCATCTAAATTTTAAAGAAAAATAGTGTACTTTTTTTTTTTAGAAAACTAAACAAGAGATTTCTATGGTCTTAAAATAAGAAAATACTTACTTTAAAGAAGATATTTCTTAAATAGCACAGAACACATTAATCATATGGGTGAAATGACAAAATTAAGGGTAGTTCTCATCAAAACACACACACACACACACACACACACACCCAGATATAACCTGTAACCAGCACAGAGAACTACTACAAACCACACAACAAAATAAACAATAGGCAAAGCATTCCAACAGAAATTTTAAAAAGAAGTTATTCAGTGGATAATACATATGTAAAACTATTTAAAGATTTTTAAATGTTTACTCATTTTTGAGAGAAAGAGAGAGAGAACGTGCAGGGGAAGGGCAGAGAGAGAGAAGGAGACACAGAATCGAAGGCAGGCTCCAGGCTCTGAGCTGTCAGCACAGAGCCCAACACAGGGCTCAAACTCACAAGCCGTGAGATCACGACCTGAGCCGAAGTCAGATGCTCAACCAACTGAGCCACCCAGGCACCCCGTGTGTAGAAGTATTTAATATCCTTAGTAAACAGGAAAATCAAAATGTAACCACTACCTAAATATAATGCCAAACAGCACTGAAAAATATAAACTGGAAATGACAGAAATAATGAGGCTCTGGCAAAGATATAGATTAATGAAGGATCTCAGATACTGCTGGCAGGTGTTAAAACTGGTACACACATTTGGAAGACGATGCGGTATCCACTTTAGCTGTCCAAATACAACCCTGTGTCCCAACAATTCTACTCCTGCAAATGCGTTCAACAGAAATCTGTGCATTTATCATCAGAAAGACCAATCACAGGGTTTATATGCCAGCACTACTCATTACTCATAACAGCCCCAAACTAAAAACTACCCACCAGCTCATTAACAGAATGAATCAATTAACTGACTCATATTTACACAATGGTGTCCTATACCATGAATGGAGGGAGTAATATACAGCAATACAGATAAATTCACATCAGATAGAATGGGGAAAAAAATGACAATATGAAAGAGATCATGCCATAAAGTAAAAAACAGGCAAAGTAAACTACTCTCTTAAATGTTAGAGCAGATATAAACCTATGTCCTAAGATTCCACTCCCATAAATCCATGCAAAAGAATTATATTCTTGGAGGTAGTGACAGGTGGCGCAAGAGGGTTTCTGAAGAACTACAGTATTCTTTTCTTGATCTAGGTGTTGTGTACAGAGGTGTGTTCAGTCACGAATTCCACTGACCTCTGTGCTTACAACCTGTGTAGTGTCTGTCATTTTTGAAAATGCCTAACACACACACACACACACACACACACACACACACACACACACACAAATCTGTGAGTGGCTGGAAAAGGTTGTCCTGTGATTGTGTGTAATCTGCTGATGGAGTCCATGCGGAAGAAACTTACAGATCTACAGGTCCAGATCTGAGCCCACATGAAGCCTCAGGGACAGTAACAATACTGAGTCTGCAAATTTGTCACAAAATTCAGTAGAGCAGAATCCTAAATTTCTGTTCTCTGTGATGGGTTTGTTGCCCCATTTGGAAATCCTACAGGAAAGGGATATTTACCAGCATATAAAGAAACCAGGGGCGCCTGGGTGGCTCAGCTGGTTGAGTGTCCGACTTCAGCTCAGGTCATGATCTCACAGTTTATGGGTTCGAGCCCTGTATCGGGCTCTGTACTGACAGCTCAGAGCCTGGAGCCCGTTTTGGATTCTGTGTCACCCTCTCTCTCTACCCCTCCCCAACTCGTGCTCTGTTTCTAAAAAATGAATAAACCTTAAAAAAATTACAAAAAAAAAAAAAAAAAGAAAAAAAAAGAAACCAGCAGAGGAAAATGGAAACCCCCAAATCCTGGGGAGGCTGTACTTTAATTTCCACCCACCTGGAGGTCCTGGGGCTGCTTGTGATGGCTGGAGACACAGAAGGAGCAGCTAGTGCCAATGGACACACCCTGCCAGCTCTGTGAGGACAGAAAACAAATCTACGTTCAAAAGTCACTGAAGAGGGGTGCCTGGGTGGCTCAGTCGGTTGGGCATCCGACTTCAGCTCAGGTCATGATCTCGTGGTCCGTGAGTTCGAGCCCCGCGTCGGTCTCTGTGCTAACAGCTCAGGGCCTGGAGCCTGCTTCTAATTCTGTGTCTCCCTCTCTCTGGCCCTCCCCTGCTCACACACTGTCTCACTCGCTCTCTCTCAAAAATAAATAAATATTAAAAAAAAAAAGTCACTGAAGAAATCTTTCACCTAAAGTCTGCCATTGGCTTGGGGACACCTATAAAAGGCATGACCAAGAAAAAACTGTAACCACATGTTTTAGAACCAAATCTGTGCAGCACAACCTGCATCTTATGTAACAAAATGAGAGATGAGAGCAGTGGAGAGAAAATGCCCAGGATTCCAACAAGTCTCAGATAAGGAGACCACTCCTATGGTCAAAAATCTAGGGCCAGTTGCTAGTGACCGGTATTTATCTTCAGACTCAGAGGATCCTGCACCAGATCATGTCGTGTGGACTAGACTGATCATATCAACTGAAATCCAATATGCTCTCTGAGGTACATTTCTTCAATTTACTTTTGTTAAGGGGCTTCCAAGAATGGAATGAATAACTCTTACATGGCACTTAAAACGCGTAAGCCACTGCTGTACAGCCGTAAATATGAATCATTTTTAAAATTTTCCTCACTGCATGACAGAGGCACTGCAAAGATAAGAAGAACTCAGAGACAGAGAAGTTAAGGGACGTATCTAAATTCACACACTGGTCAGGGGCCGAATGGAGACTGGAACATGGCAGGCTGGAGCCGACAGTGCCCGAAACTCTGTGCTCCACGGACAATCCAGGTCAGCTGTGTCTTCCAATAAGACCTGTATTTACTTTTGAAAAACACTTTTCCATTTCATTTCATGCTACTTTTCTTCTCCTTGACAAACCTGCTCATAAAGTTTCCATATTCTTTAATAATTTATTCTCTAGGCTAATCCTACAAGAAACTTTGTAAGGTCTTAGCTGGGTTTGGTGAATGAAGGGTTTGCTCAATGTGAGTTCAGCAGAAAGACTCATTGGCTGTCATTCCAGGAAGGAAAACACAGTGGACTCAATCCAATAAACCATCTGACAATATTACCCTGTTCCCAGAGCTGTGAAGCAAAAAAATATATATGGTATGTAATTAAACAGTGTGAGGTAGAAACTAAGTTATTAGTAATTTTGGTTCAAATGATTAAGCATTAAATCCCACAATAAGCGAAACTACTGGATATTAGGCAACATATGTGAAAGACAAAAGACAGTAGAAGAGAATATCTGGGAATACAGAATCTTGTGTATCGTTTATGTTGAAATCATAAGGAAATGAGTTGTGAGCTTGGGGATGATGTTAGAATATTATTAAACCACAGATAATAAGACAAGATACATGTACTCATGACAGCTGTTTTCTGGAACCCATAATTATAGTTACCATTTCCTTAAATGTTGCTTCTCTAACTTCAAGAAGTAAAGGAATCTTCCCATAGCCACGAGGCCTCAAATGGTTTCAGTACAGGCACAATTACTATCTCCAGTAAGTGCATTATATACTTGAGATACAAAAAGAGAAACTTAACAAAAATTCTAGAAACTAATTCATATACACTATTTCTGTAGACAACTGGAAACTGTTAGAGGTCTAAAGGCATTGTAGGCACACCTCTACTGACATTGAAAACTCAACCTACGATTCCTGCAAAGTAATGTGAATAGCAGATGGCTGTCATAACTATGGTCCTTACGCACCTTCAAAATGACCCTTCCTTGTCACTGGCATTTTCATCAGTAACAGTCCAAGGGAGGACTTCATTAAACGGCATCAGGAACCGCCAGGCGTGGGTGTGGGTGCAGGGTCCGGGGTCCTCACCTCTATCGACAAGCTCAGCTCACACCCAAGGCACTACTCCACCTCCCTCTTCAGCTCTTCCCCTGGTCTGTCCCGACCCTCAGGATCCCTTTCGAGACACGAACACTTACTCTGTACACGTCCTTCCTTACAGGCGCTGCCTCTCAGTCTGACATAGGAAGAACTCACTGGACTCGTCACGTTGAAGGATGGGGGCGCAGCGTGAAGGTCACACAGCAGCCAGTCCGTGTGAGGGAGGGAGGCAGCCAGACCAGAGATAAGGCTTTGTGATCTGTGACCTCCCCTCCCGTCAGAACTGCAATTATCATTTCACACGTGGTGGCAATGACAGCACAGCCTTCGGTAGCTGACAATACTTCTGAAAAACTTTCTCCCAGGACTCATTACCAAATCCAATTACAAGTTTGTGAGTATCTCCAAAGAGACTGTTGTCTGCTTTAGGAGGGGCTCTTACTTTTCACGATCCCTGATGGCAGAGAGGGGCTCACAGGGAAGGAGCAGGAAATACTGATGTCAGACAACTAAGGGACTGGCAGTGAGTGTGTGTGTCTCACAGGCGTCCCCGATTCCCTCAGAAGTTCTTCCACCAAAAATCTAGGGCATTCTTAGTCTTCTGTCTTCTAAGCTGCATCATTATTTGAGAATTGAGGAAATACATGGAATCAGAATCCAGCAAGAATATCTAAAGAGATATAAAAGAGAACATGCCAACAATTCATATTAGAAAACATGGGTGAGTCCCATGTTTTTTGAGTAAAAAGAAGAAATCATGGGACTCATTTTTTCAAGTTTATTTTGAGAGAGAGAGAGAGAGACAGACAGAGGGTGGGAGGGGCAGAGAGAGAGGGAGAGAAAGAGACTCCCAAGCAGGCTCCACACTGCCAGCACAGAGGCAGACATGGGGCCTGAACCCATGAACCTGACCTGAGCTGAAACCAAGAGTTGGATGCTCCACCGACTGAGCCATCAGGTGTCCCAGGTCTCATTTTTATAACTAAATACAAATTATACTGAGACTCGTGATATGCAAATATTATCAAAACGACATTATAATAATATTGACCCTGGCAGTCAAACGAAGTCTAAAAATCTACCCCTCTAAGCAAAACAGATGTTTATCTAAGTGACCCTCAGAAATACAGGTACCGGGATTCCATGATTTCACAAGCAGGTTCTACCACCGTTCTATCAGAGAAGTCAATGCTGCTCTGTTAATTCAACAGCACTGAGCTCTTACCAGAGGTCTCTACACCTCTCTGTTATTAAGGGAACACGTGGGGCTCATGCTTTTCATGAGGGAGCACTTGGGGCTCGCGCAATTAACGAAGATCCACAGTCTCAACAAGGTCCACTGTCCATTCCCCTGTGAGGGTTCTTCGTCCATATGGAAAGGTGGGGAACCTCGGTCCACCTAGCAGCACACCTACTTCTGACATCAAGTGGAAGGAAGCTTGGGGTTCCCAAAACTACGCTTAGCTGACAGCTGTTGCACTCACTGTTCTAGTTTGTTACAGGGAAAGGAGACAGGTGAGTTATCAAACAGGGAAGAAATGCTTGCGGCAAAGTTCAGTGAAAGTACCAAATGGAAAGCTCCAGGGTCCTCTCTCTGTGAAGTGATGGATGGGTTACTCTCCGAGCACTGAAACCTGACAATATTCAGAGCGTACTGCCACCAGGGATGGTCACTCAAGCCTACGTGCGCACACTTTCTCCTGGAGCTCGGCCACATACCGTCAGGGTGGCCGGCGTTTAGCCTGTTCTTGCACAGTGTGGTGGACACCTTCAGCATCCAGCGTCTCCTCCATGGACCGAGGCCCCATCATCAATCCTGTGAGACCCTCTCACGGTCCCGCCCCAGACAAAGAAAATATATGAGCAAGACATTCTAAGGGGTGAAGATCCGCTCCCAGGAGGTGAGGGCAAAGCCGAACCACCATTTTGGCGATATTAAATGCTCACTATATCCCCTACTCCCCAATCTCCCAGTGCAGGAATAGAGCCAGATGGCTGACAGCCCATTCTGCAAGCACACGGGCTCACACACAGGCACATTTACACACTCAGGCACGCACACACACATACACTATGCACACTCATCGACTCAAACACATGGAAAAAACACACTTGCATACAGTCTTTCTCATTCTGGCATACTTAGTCTCAGGCCCACAGACACTCATGTGCACAGAGACTACATACACATTCACACTCATATTCACACACACAATGCACACCCTCACACCACTGGCCTACTCACTTTCACAAAGCCCCTCACATAATTACCAGGTGTATGCTCCTCAAAAACACGTTTGTATAAATATGTTTATCAAAGACACGTGTCCAAGTCTGAAAATGCAAGAATGGGGCCCCATGTCTGTCCCTGCATGCCTCCAACTGCAGACCCCACAAGGACGTTTTAAATGACCAGCATTTCAATAGTTCTGTGAGCTCTGGCTGTGGAAATGCAGGGCGTGCTGAGCGGCAGTTCATGGGGGTGTAACAGCAGCATAAGAAGGGCTGGGGGCGGGGGGGAAGAGTGCAAAGATACAAAACAGGGGTGATACACACAGCACGGTGACATGGGTGGGGGTTTACTCTGCTAAAGCTGCCATGACAAAATATCCCAGGCTGGTGGTGTAAACCACAGAAACCTATTTCCTCAGAGTTCCTCAAGCCATGAACCCAAGACAGAGGTGTCAGCAGGGTTGGCTTCTTCTGAGGCCTCTCTCCTTGGCTTCCAGCCGGCCCCCGTCTCTGTGTGCTCACATGGCCTTGTTCTGCCCATGCGCATCTGCTTCCCTGGGGTCTGTGTGTCCGGAGGTCCTTCTTGTAAGGACACCCAGTCACGCTGTACTATTTCCACTTTAATAGCCTCACTTAACCTCATTATCTCTTTGAAGCCCCCACCTCCAAGTTCAAGGGATTACAGCGTCAACATACAAATTCAGGTGCACACATTTCCATTTCTAAAAAGAGTACACAAAGTGAGAGGTGAGTGAGGACAGAGAATAAAAGGCACACAGGGGTTAAAGGGTGCAGTAGGTTTCAAGAGCACTGCACGACTTAAGGGCATGAGGGGACAGAGTGTGTGAGATGTTCAGGGTGTAACACACATCAGTCTGGGGGTATGACAGTCATAAGAATAAAGTGAAATTGGTGGAGAGGGCATAATCAGCAAAAGTGAGCAAAGGGCGGGGCTGGGTAAAGGCCCCGACAATTCATGAGCACATGGGGCTAAAGAAACACACGGTAGGAAGGGAACATTTTGTGGGATGAAAGCCATTTGATGGGGGACGCAAACCACTATGACTCTTGCAGCGATGAAAGGCAGAACTTTTTTTTTCAATATATGAAATTTATTGTCAAATTGGTTTCCATACAACACCCAGTGCTCATCCCAAAAGGTGCCCTCCTCAATACCCATCACCCACCCTCCCCTCCTTCCCACCCCCCATCAACCCTCAGTTTGTTCTCAGTTTTTAAGAGTCTCTTATGCTTTGGCTCTCTTCCACTCTAACCTCTTTTTTTTTTTTTTCCTTCCCCTCCCCCATGGGTTCCTGCTAAGTTTCTCAGGATCCACATAAGAGTGAAAACATATGGTATCTGTCTTTCTCTGTATGGCTTATTTCACTTAGCATCACACTCTCCAGTTCCATCCACGTTGCTACAAAGGGCCATATTTCGTTCTTTCTCATTGCCCTGTAGTACTCCATTGTGTATATAAACCACAATTTCTTTATCCATTCATCAGTTGATGGACATTTAGGCTCTTTCCATAATTTGGCTATTGTTGGGTGTGCGAAAGGCAGAACTCTTTTATGACCAGCAGCTGCACAGGGTCGAAGGCTGCCAGGTGGGGCCACGCTACGGGATGCACATGGGGACGGGGTGACAAGCTAAAGCTGGAGGAGCAGCTTATGTGAGGAAGCGGAATGAAGTGAGCTACTTTTCAAGGCTTCCCAGTGGACTGGCTGACTGGATAATATCACAAGTTCCAGAGCAGAAAGGCTGTCCCTGGTTGTCTAGTACCTGCCACAGAGTGGTCACAGCTGCTGCCAAGTGGCCAGAGTGTGTGAGAGCCCAGTTACAGAAGGGACTGAGACATGGACGTGGTCAGCTGCTCAGCTGGGGGAAGTGACTGCCCTGCAGCTGGAACCTGGTACTAGGGTCAAGAGAGTATAAAAGACACACACACACAAATATGACACACTGTATTAATGAAGTACGGATGCACTGGATGTGGTTAGTGGCCCAAGACAGACACAGAGGGTGGAAAGGGAGCTGAAACCTTTGTGGGGAGATAATGCTCTCAAGGACACAAAACGGGTGTGGGTGATGAAGTCAGCTGGGAAGAGAAGGGGAACGAAAAGATTAAGGGGCTCAGGAAGGGCGCCTGGTTGGCTCAGTCGGTTAAGCATCAGACTTAGGCCTCAGGTCATGATCTCGTGGTCCGTGAGTTCGAGCCCCACGTTGGGCTCTGTGCTGACGCCTCAGAGCCTGGAGCCGCCTGCTTTGGATTCTGTGTCTCCCTCTCTCTACCCCTCTCCTTCCCTCCCTCTCTCTCTCTCTCTCTCTCCTCAAAAATAAACACTAAAAAATTGTTTTGTTTTTTTTTTTAACGTTTATTTATTTTTGGGACAGAGAGAGACAGAGCATGAACGGGCGAGGGGCAGAGAGAGAGGGAGACACAGAATCGGAAACAGGCTCCAGGCTCTGAGCCATCAGCCCAGAGCCCGACGCGGGGCTCGAACTCACGGACCGCGAGATCGTGACCTGGCTGAAGTCGGACGCTTAACCGACTGCGCCACCCAGGCGCCCCTAAAAAACTGTTTTAAAGGGACTCAGGAAAAGGGGTAATGTTGGGGTGTGTATGGGGTACACAGGGAGCGGACAGCACCCAAGAACTTAGGGCAAAGATGGGCCATGGAGGATATAGACACTGGGCTGCAGTCATTGGCTTCTGCCCCGGATGAAATTCAATACAGGTCAACAGGGATGGACGATGTGCAAGTGATGATAGGACAGAGGTCCCTGGAATAGTGCAGGGTATAGACACGAAAAATGGAATTAAAAATGGGTGCACAATAGAACTGGGGAAGGAAGTCTTGAAGGTTCAGGTGGAAGTGGGTGGGAGCACGCACAGGTCCAGGGGTTGGAGGGACAGGCTAAAGTACTGGGATGGAGAAGGACCTGTAAGGGGGGGGGAGGGGTACAGGACAAGAGGCTATAGTGGTAGAAAGATGGACAGTATGGAAATTGTGGGCATGGAGGTCACAGGGGCAGGTGGGAAATTACATGCATTCGCTGCATTCCTTTACAACCTCATTGACAAGGGACTCCGTTTCTCATGGACCTGTTGGTATAGGGACCTATGCAAAATTTCCCTGTAAAACCGTTAATGCACAGTAGGACCACAGGTAGGATGCTGTGTGAACACTCCACCATGTCAGTCTCATCACTGAAATCCAGTTCTTAGAGGGAATGACCACGAGAGACTGTTGGGACTGCCTGTTTCCTGCTACTGAGCACTCAGCGTTGGAAACGGTTGCCATGCTCGGTCCCTTCCTAGTACTCATGTCTGCTACAACTTTTCTGACTCAAGACGACGTGATCAAAGACTCTTTCCATATTGTATTTCTAAACTGACATATATGCTTTACATATGAAATGAATCTAACGAAG